TAGACTTCAAAGGCTATCCAAGGACATATTATTCACGTTGTTTGGTCGAGTATAGCTTCTATAATGAGAGGAGACAAACAGCACACCAATTTGTGCGAAAATAAGGATGGTGGCCCAAGCTTTGATTCCTATCAAGTCATGTGCAGCTCCCCTCCATTATGGCCGGCCAAGGTAGGTCTTCTAACCCATTTTTATTTGTTTTGCAGGTACTAATATCATGTGGAGTGGTTCCCAATTGATCCCATTAAATTTGGGGTCCAAAATCTCTACCAATACTTCCAAAAATGGGAAGATGGGTCCTATTGTTTTATCTTTGTCAAAGATGTCTTTTTGTACTCATCCTAATTTATTTAGAACAAGTCAACTTCCTAAGTCACATTATTGATCTCCAATATGTGTAGGCTCATCCCAATAATTTACTTGATAGATATTATAGAAGGAAAATCCTACTCCCATTATTTAGCTCAATAAGGCCAAAGGTGGGGTTATAGGCATTTGTATTCTTCTTTAATCATCCTATCACTTATTTGACATTTGTCATACATATTATTGGGCTACTAGCCGTGTGGGTCACCCCCGAGTGGATCCAGAACGCCATTCTCGAATACTTGCTATTTTTAGCAGGTTGGGCCCAAAATGAGTATTCGCAAGCCCGATACTAATATACGAGTTCGAACAGTATAATAATCGGTCATTAATTACGTAAAACATTAATCGTTTAACAAATGTTTGGGAATCAGAAATCCAATACATAAACTTTGAATTTTAAATCAAATTTTCAAGGACCTTCGGGAGCGGTGTCACACTACTAGTCTACTGTAGCTGGCTACGTAGTGGAGGTGTGGACAGGTTTGGCAAGCTTCTAAAACGCAAGTGATATTTAGGGAGAAACCCAGAAACGGTACGTGGGGCATTATTTTTTCAGAGAATAACAAAACGACGACGTTTTGATGCTAAAATTGAGATTTTTGGGTGTTCACATGAACACTCTTGAACAACCTCAGCTCTGCCCCTGGTGACATGACAATTTTTTTTTAGAGAATTATCATTACGTGATATAGATTATTTAATGGGATTATTTGCTAGAATAATCCGGGATCAAAATATGAATCCGGATTATTTTAAGATTATTTGAAATATATATGTAATGAAGATTAATGCAGGACACAGAAAAAGTAGATTATTTGAGGATGATGTTTGAGAGACATAAACGAATTTTGAGATTATTATAAAATCAATTGCATTACAATATTTAAATTGTAAGAATCATAGAAAAATTTGATTATTAGAGATCATGAATGGAGTTGCTCTAATTGGTTTAACGATAGACTGAACCTATGTTTATGTCTGTCTAGAACTAGTACGTGTTTCCAACTCTCTCACGTAGTCACATGTCTCTATTTTTTTAAAGCGCCAAGCAAGTATTAGGGAACGAAAAGTACCGAGTAGTAATAATACAAAATATATGTGCATTAAAAAGGCCAGAATGGATAAATTCTGGTTTATCCATTAATGTGTCTCTATTTTTTTTAAAGCGCCAAGCAAGTACTCCATCCGTCCCGTAATTAAGTTCCTACTTTTCTTTTTGGGATGGTTCATATTAAAGTTTCTACTTCAAACCTTTCCTTATTTGGCAAATGATTTCCACCAATACAGTGTCAAACAGTGTTCAAACAGTGTTTAAACAGTGTCAAACAGTGTTCAAACAGTGCACTCCACAGTAAAGTCAAATTTATTTATTTTTTTTTTTGGATGAAATGTAAATATATATTAACACCCAGAAAAACTTTACATCATATAGCTAAGATCTCCTAAACCCCCCCCCCCCCCAACCCCACATAATGTGGGGTGAAGAGAGGTTTTTCTTCGATCTTATCTATGGAAATCACCAAGTAAACTTGGCCCATCAAAATAATCAAAACATAGCGGTGCTGCCAAATTGCACACACCTATCGGAGGCTACAAAAAATCCAAATAAAAACGGGGTGCCGCAAGGTACATACACCCACATAAAAAATCACGATATCCATAATCTCCATATCGTGGTATCCTAGTTCAGAACTTCACCAGATCATGCGGGTAAATACTGTAAAGTATTTTATACACCACATGCTTGATCTTGGCTACCACATCATCTTCAGTCTTCATGCCTTCATCAAATCTTGCGTTATTCCTAGCTTGCCAGATATGGTAAACCGTCGCACAAAAAGCAAGCCGTCCTGTCTTGGCCTTCAACGTTGATCCCTTGCGTTTCTTAGAAATCCATTTTATTGCACTAAGGAGTGTATTCATCTGATTCCCAAATCCGACCCATGCCCTAATTTTGTCCCAAACTCTGCACGCAAAAGGGCAACAAAAAAAGAGGTGTGGAATTGTTTCCAATCCACCCTTGCACAGATCACATCTATTAACAATATAAAGGTATCCGAGACTGTCCTGTGTAGGAAGTCTGTTCCTCAAAGCCAACCATACATTAAAAGAGAACTTCGGAGGGATGTAGGATTTCCAAATGAAGGTCATCGGGGTCCTAGGGGTCCCTCTTACTCTTAAAAGTTCATATATTTTTCCCGACACCAACTTATCATTGATGCATCTCGCATTTAAACCTAGTATGGTGTCATTTAAGTTATTAAAACATCCTCGCAGTCTATCTCGGATGAGACCCAACCTCTTCATTAGTTGAGAGTCTCGGCTATGTGGGACAAAGTCCCACACATTTTTATCCCGAAGATACACTCCATTAATCCACCGAACCCACATGGTATCCTTTTTCCTATGAACATCCCATAGTGTGCGGGCCAAAAGACTATCATTCCAAACTTTGGCATTGTGGATGCCAAGTCCACCTTCCTCCTTTGGGAGACAGATGTCATCCCACGAGACCTTGGAGTATTTCCCACCCCATAGGAAAATTCTACAAATCGATACTATCCTATCCAATATGGTTCGAGGAACCGGGAAAATTTGGAGCCAAAAAGATTGAACCCCTTGAATTACCGAGCGGATTAGTTCAATTTTCCCGGCATAAATTTGACTGTATTCCAAGTCAAATTTATTTCTTAATATATGTGAAGTCAAACTAGGAACTTAATTAAGAACCGGAGGGAGTATTAGGGAATGAAAAGTACGGAGTAGTAATAATACAAAATATATGTGAATTGAAGAGGCCAGGTTGGATAAATTCTGGTTTATCCATTCAGGTTTAACGATAGCTAGGCTGAACCTATGTTTGTGTCTGTCTAGAACTAGTGTTCCCCAACTCTCTCATGTGTCTCCAGTGGCGGAACCAGAACTTTTTTTGAGCCAGTGCTGAGAAACATGCTCTGATGAAGCATCAATACTACTAAAAAAACCCATAATTAATTAGGATGTTTTTACTTGGACTGTTTTTCGGACCGGATCCGAACTGATCAGACTAGACTAGACCATACATCTATCAGACCAGACCAAATTAGATTAAAAAAATATTAGTTTAATTAAAAAACATCTTTAATTCTCAAAATGGACACGATCTCTACTCAAAGAATCAAAATCACAAATAGATTTACGTAAACCTTAATCAGCAACCTCCTTATCGGTCAGAATTGAATTCAAGAGGAAATAATTTTGAGTTTTTGACCTTTTATTTTTTCGGTAGAGGTTTTTGAAGACTCTTCACCCGTTATTAGAAATTTTAACATAATTAACCGAACAAACTATACAACAAATTCATATTATAATAAGCCATGGTTTATATTTATTCAATAAATTAACTATATAATTAATTAGATGATTATTCCCTTAACAAATACACACTAAAAGAAATAAACGAATACAGAGGTCCAGTAAACTGTCCATCTTCAACAACACATTACAATTCACACGTTACAATTTAAAAGAACAAAAAATCAAAAGTTAACATTACCTTCTCACAAATCACTTTAGTCTTCAACTCTTCACCAAAAGGCGCAGCAACGAGCACCCAGGTCTTCCATTTTCCGGCTTCCAAAGGTCCAACACGGCACCGGCGGGCGGTGGCTGGTTTTTAATCATCAGCCTTCCTCAATTCCTCCTCCTGGCCTCTTCAATTTTTGGGCTGAGCTGGTGAGTGAATTGAACGGTCAAAATAACCTAAGGAGTACGGTTGTGAGGCGTAATGTTTATTCTATTATTTTAAATTTTTAATTTTGACAAAATGGAATGTCATTTATTCAATAACTTCCCGTCATTTCTCTTTTTTTCCCCTTTTTAACTTCATCAAACGATGTCGTTCAGCTAAATGATTTTCTAAACCTTAGTCTGTAGCTTCGTGCTTCGTATCAGCGAGCAAAAGATAGGGGCGCCAGGCGCCGGTTGACTGAGAAAGTAGAAGGCTGCACGGGCGCCGGCCAAAATATTAACTGTAAATACCTTAACGACGCCGGCGAAGGGGTGGCGCCGGCACCGGCTCGCCCACCCCTGGTTCCGCCGCTGTGTGTCTCTATTTTTTTAAGCGCCAAGCAAGTATTAGGGAATGAAAAGTACGGAGTAGTAATAATACAAAATGAGTGCCTATATTATACAACCGGCTGTACGGTGAGCACCGTACAGCCGGGCCAGTAACAGGTCCAAATAATTGGTCAACAATTGGTCTTAAGATAGGAAGATTTATTTTTCCTACGTTTTTTCAGATAAAACCAAATAAAAGACACAATCATTGGTTTTAAAAGAAAGGTCATAAACTTTCTTTTAATAGGTGTTTTTAGGTTAGAGACTCCTGGCCAGAGCTCTATAAATACCCGCCTTGTCTTCAATTTTGGAGAATCCGAAAATTCACAAACAATTCCTCCGCACTATCTCTTCCTTTGTTGCATCTTTGAGTTTGCCGGTGTCCCGTTGGGAATGAAGAACCGTTCTATCCTGGGAGACGGTTGTTACGTGTGTCGGGCAATAACGTCTTAAGGAAACAACGTTTACGTTGGGCTCGGTTACAAGTAATCTTACGTTTTTTCCATAATTATTTATTTATTATTCCTTTGCATGCAGAATTTCCACTAACAATTTGTCCTCATTTTGATCAGTTTTAATGAAAAAATGTAGGCGCACACATGTCTTTCACAAACAACTGAAACAAGGTATACATTATTTGAAACAAACACAACAATAGAATTATCACATTATACATTGTCACTGGTTGTGCTCATCCCCTTATTGTTCCGTTGTTATTCCCACAACAATTTTATTTACTCTAAAAATCAAAGTGGGAAGAGAACAACTAAATTAGAAAGTCCAAAATGGTCTGATCCATTCATTTGTAGAGTTCCATGACCCAAGTGTTAAGAGCAAAGTAAGCCTTGCGAAACTCTTTGAAACCGGCACTCTTAGTGAGGACCTCAAATTCTTTCTCAGTCCTCTCTTTCCCGCCGACACAATATGCTAACATGAGAATATCAATATGGATCACACCTTTTTCTGCGTGGAATGTGTCTGATTGTTCTGGTAGAATGTAATCTGCAATGATCATTTTCCCATCATCCGGAAGTGCTTCAAAGCAATTCTTCAAGAACTTTAGACAATGATCATCACTCCAATCATGACATATCCACTACAGATACAGTATAAATCACATCTAATTAAGCATATACTTCACTCACTTTAAGTAAGTTCAAACAGCTAATGAGCTCGATAATGTACAAAGTTACATATATGATGTTTTATTGTATTTGAATCTGAGGTAATGAAATAGACAGAGTTATGCTAGGAAAACAAACCCCAGTATTCCAAGCTAGGAAAACGTTCAAATAGACCCTTTCGGTATTCCAAATCCATCACAATATGAACTCATATGCTAAAAAGGTATCACATAAACATGTTTACATTGAAAACGCAATCATGCCAACCCATCTTGATTTTATAGCAGGTCATTTAAAAAACAGCTAAAAAATTGTATTTTCTTAAATTATCATATGAATTGTAAAAAATATAGAACCAGAAATATAAAAATAGTAAAATTCGAACTTGAAAATAAAACCCGAAAATTAAAAATATCCAAAAATAAATGAAGTGTAAAATTATAAATTTAAAATGTAATTTTAAAAAAAAAAGAATATACGAATAATTCTTAAATAAAAAATGGCATCATTTGACTGTCTTCCCGATGGAATTTTTGAAGCTAACTGCGCAGCGAAGTACATTTCAGAAAATCATTTGTCTGTCTTCCTGGTTGAATTTTTATGTGAAATTGGGTATGACTAAACTAGACTTAATGAAAAAAATACTCAAAATATTTCATCAAAAAATTCCACTAAGAACCGCCCCAATTGGCGTTGGCCGGATAGAGCCTCCTATATAAAAGGTGAATTGAACTTTTTAAGTTAGTTCGAGGCCTATTTGACCCTTTAGCCTAGATTAAATTATCAAAGAATATCCTACCTTCATAAAAATGGCATCGCCTTGGGGCACTCTCACAAACATGTCTCCACTGATATGCTCAATTCCTAAACAAATTAAAATATATGATACTTCGAGTTAAAGTTTAAGTTTTGAATGAGGTTGGAATAACATAATATGTGACTATGTGAGTGATATACCATGATAAGGAAGTGCATCATTAATAACGTGAGGCAAATCAAAGTTAATGCCCTTAATATTCGGATGTTTAGAGAGAATCATGTTAAGAGTGGCGCCGGTCCCGCCACCTACATCCACCAATGATTTGAGCCCTTCGAATCCCTTGTAACCTTCTAGAATTTTTTTCATAGTAAGGGTAGAGTGATCTGACATTGCATGATTGAAGATCTTGTTGAGCCTTGTGTCTGTTTTGGGATATTCAAATGGACTCATCCCATACGCTTTGTTGAATGGTATCCCACCCTCAAGTATTGCTTCTTTCAAGTAATACCTTAAATTTGTGTGAACATTTAAAACCAAGTTAATAGGGTAATTAAAATAATAAAATAATGTAGTCAAACATAGCCTTTTTATACATGTGTAAAGTTGGAAAGTTTTGTTAATATTGTTGTCTTCTATCATCATGGGTATGGTGACGATTTTGATAAGCGAAAACTAGAATTTGTTTAGTTTTGGTGTTGTATTAGAGGTTCTAACCAGTTCCGGTTACATGGTAATGGTCTATACTTAGAAAAGCATGCTACAGATTTAGTTGTTTAAATCGTCACTTGCTCTGTTCTACAACCAGAACCACATCATTCGAAGAATCTCAGTGTTAGATGGAATCGTTAATAAATTGATAAAGTTATTCAAACTTATCATTGCTTGAAAGATTGTAATTTGTAAGGTATAATTAAGATAAGTAGGCAGTGACGGAGAGCCAGAAAAACGGTCCAGGAGAGTCGAAAATGAACTCTATACAAAATGAAAACGGTGGATCGTTTTTAGAAAATGTCCGAGTTGAATATTTCATATGTTGTTTAGATAAATAGGCACTCGTAACAATAAGAGAGATTGCCTTTGCTCTGTTTCTGAGTCATGCCACATAAGTAATGAGTTAATTATACTTTATTTTTATAATTTGGGGGAAATATCAATATTACACATCAAATTTTGCTGATTATACGTTTGGATAGTGCTGATTTTGTAGAAGTCATAACTTTTTACTCATAATGAGTTATGAGAGCCATAATATATCAAATCGAAGATATTTCATAGTTCTATACTCTCAAACTTTCAGCGGGGTCGACTGATCACCCTGATCCTCCCTTGACTCCGCCCCTATTAGTAGGGTTTGTCCAATTAATTTGGGTCTTAAGTTCATGTCCCTAAAAATGATACGGAGTATTTGAGTTTTCTCTCAACAAGTGGCCTATGCACTAGTCCCCCAAGGTTTAGCTCAGCAAATCTCTTAATCAACTTACACTCGCTATAAGCGTCAATGTGTGAGGCATAACTAGCTGTCTAGCTGAGTAACTCTTGAGGATAAATCGTCAACTTAAATTACCTGATCATTTATGAAACGGCCTATAATAAAGCTTTGAGAATAAGAAAAACTCTATCATCACTTTTAGACATTGAAATCACTGCTCTAACTAATGCATGACCAACTTAATTCAGGGTTTAAGTAACTCGGAATTTGAATCTCTAAAGTGAAAGGTAAACTAACAGGCCAGGTTTGAATAACTTACATTATACTGACTATGTTGACATATTTGTAGTAACTTACCACAAATATATGTTTTATTTGTACTGCATCACTTTTATTTAAGTGCGTAGTAATATTTAGGCAAACCACTCTCATTTTACCTATGTTATTTGGTAATACGATAGTACTCCGTATTATTTTATTAACTATATTCATAATTCATAAATCCCTAATAACCAAACAAAAAGAAAATCGAATAGATGAATTCCATATTCCTTTATACAGAATATATAGATAACATGAAATATATTTCTAAAACGTATAGTTCCATATATGAGTCTTAAATATTCATATATCTCCTAATCTCCCCAAAGACGAATATTTGTCTCTCTCTCTAGGGCATCCAGCCGCTAGAGCTATTATCTCTGGCGGCGGTCGTCTTCGGCCGTGGGTTCCGGCGGCTTCGTCTGAATCCTCCTGATCTAGTGCTTGGCGTCCTCATCAAGAGTTTGCTTCTGGCCTGGGGATCGACGACGCGGGGTTTGGGTTTCGAAAGTTTTTGCAATTTTATTTTGGCACTCGGCAAGCAGGTTTGAGACGGGCGGTGCCGCTGAAGACGATTGAATTGGGCGTGGGACTTCCTCAATCCGTGGAGGCGCTTGTTGGTCGTTTTCGATTCGGCACGAAGAGTTTGATCAGCTGGAATTGTCGTGGACTCGGGAATGCAGCCACAGTTCAAGGGGTAACAAATGGGAGCAGAGCTTTTTGCTCTGGGGTCTGGAGCCGTGGCATGTTCGTGTCAAAAATCATAGCAATGGTTCGTCAGCCTCCTGAACCACCGCCAGCCAGAGTGGACATGGTGGAGGTGCTCATGGCATTGAAGAAGAATTTTTACTTAACTGCTTTTTTTATTATTGTTGCTGTTGATCAGTCTTTGTTTTATTTTGTCGTTATTTCTTTCAATTGTAAGACTCTTGCATTAGGATTGGATGAGGTTTGGTCTGCTTCAATCGTCTGTAGCTCTGGTTTGCCCATTAATGGATCAACGAGTTATATTGCTTATTTGAATGTGATTAACTCTGAGTCTAGTTCGCGGGCTGACGGTTGTTGGTGGTTCCTTACTTGTTTTACTCCCTTTCTGAATGCTAATACTTTGATATCAATTTAAGCCACCTTCTTCCAAAAACAAAATATATATATCTCCCCAGCATGTTTAATTTCCAAATCTATTGTGTTTAGATTATGAACGAGTACTCTAGACATGCCTACATAAAAGAGTTTGGTACCCCTACGTTTAGTTTGTTAACTTTATCAGTCAACTATTTTGTCATTTTTACCTCACACGTTGCATTGTGTATTAATAAAAATAAATAAGGTTGAAGTTACTTATTGGCTGAATTGATTGAAATTATTGTAGAGGATAATTTTATCCATTTTCATGTAATATTTTCTCAATTTTATTACTAAAATATATTTTGAATATTTTTCCAAAATCAACAAAATTCAATTGATTCAATCGATTTCATCAAATGAGTCCTAGGATTGAGTCTAGAAATGATAGAAAATAATGGAGTGTCCAAATTTGAAACAGTGTAGGATATTTTTTTAAACATTTCACATAGTACAATTAAAGTATTTTATATAGGGTAGTACTAAAATATTTTTGTAAACTTTTTATAAAACACGAATAATTGTCATATAATATGAAAAATAAATTATGCACATGACAAAATAATGCATTTTTGTTTTGGATATAAAGTTTTAACATTGAGCTATCAAAACAAAGGTATCTGATAAGGTGATTGTTAGAGTACTCATAACAATGAGAGTACCATATTTATCAAACATTTAAGAGAGATTTATCTAAATATTTCTAAATGGGAAAACAGTCAAATAGGTCCTCGAACTTTCATAAAACAGTCAATTAAGTCCTTCTATAGGAGGTTATGTCTGGCCGTCTCGATTTGGGGTAATTCCCGATGGAATTTTTTGATGAATTTTTTTGAGCATCTTATTCACCAAGTCTAGTTTACTCATACCAAATTTCAGCTAAAATTCAATCGGGAAGACATTCAAATTAATTCTTGAAGTTAACTGCGCATTTTTTCATTCTCGAATTAATTTGAATGCGCTCCCAATTAAACTTTTAGCTGAAATTTGGTATGAGTAAACTAGACTTGATGAATAAGATGCTCAAAAAATTTCATCAAAAAATTCCACCGGGAACCATCCCAAATCGCAACGACCGGACAGAGTCTTCTATAGAAGGACTTAATTGATTTTTTTATGAAAGTTTGAGGACCTATTTGACAGTCTTCCCTTTCTAAATCAATGCATTTTTCCAAAAATAGGAACTAGTACTATAAAAAGTTATTTATGACATTTTTATTTGCGTTTGGACCAAAATAACCTCATAGGGTTGGAGCACTGCCCCCATCCCTAAGTCGCTGAACCGCTGGCTGCTGCCTACGGCCGACCGTTAGATTTTTCCCAGAACTCTTTTGCGATACATATGCCGGAATTGTATAAATCAATTAAATCAATTAATTCTTCCACCGTCAACCACATTTTATCTGTCCGGGCCATCATTAAATCAATTGTATATATTTAAATTATTCAAATGCAATATTCTACTGAGTACTAATAAGTAATTTATACTCCGTATGAATAAGATATACTACCTCCTCCCATTGAGATTGGAACAAAGAAGAGTGATGTAATTTTTAAGAAAAGTGAAGTTATGTGGTTCATAATGAAATGATAAAATGACAATATTCATAATCAAGCACTCACAAATATAACCAAATACTATTCACATGTTCTACTTTGACTACGTTTTATTTATTAATGTAATAATATATATTTTTGGAAAAAAATATTGTTAAAATTTTCTCATTATAAATTTTCAAAATCTATTTTTTAAACTTTTTTTACTAATAAGAAATTATATATATTAATGATCAAAGTTGTGCCTCGACAAATGTGAAATGTTGACTGTTACATTTATTTAAGAACGGAGGAAAGTATGAAATATCATACGAAACAAATTTGAAAATGAAATAGAGAACAATCTTCTATAATACAAAAGGAGGAGAAAAACAGGCCCGTTTTCCCGCCCAAAGTGTCGGGTCAGAAAATGGATTCGGGTCAGGAGTTGAAAAAGTGTTCCGCATGCTCGCCATTTGGGTTGTCGTTTAAGATGCATTTAAAGAAATGTATTACAAGTCAGGTTTTTGTCTGCATAATGAGCTGTCTTTAGCTAGGTTACGTGAATAACAAAGAAAATCTTTTGCTTGGATTCCGAAGTATTGAGCATTGGGCTTTGCATAATTCGATCAATTGCATGGCTGATATTAGTCTCCAATGTGTTGTTGTCCAATCAAATTTCATGTCACAAATTTTAGTATAAATCCATCCAAAATTTTCAGTTCAAGTTCTCACCTCAACTCAACACGCAGTGGCAGTGTATATAGCAATGTCGGTTATTTGGTCACTCATTAAGGATGTTGATCACAAATATTTTGGGCTTTGAAAGTGAGGATCAATTAAAAATATTGGTCACTCATGAGGGATGTCAAGCATAAGAGATCGATCCACGGGGGATTTAAGGGTGGAAAGAAGCTTGAAGCTGGTCTCCTTTATGAAGAGGTAAAAAAAAGTACGTGTTTGGTACATAATACGGAGTATAATCTTCTTCCAAAAGCTTTTTTAACAAGACTTTTATATGCCCAGTCATATTATAATCCTGATACATAATATGTTACCATGAACTAATTATAAAATTGGCAATTAGCAAGAAACATGAACTTTTATTCAAAAGAGGAGAATTGGAAATTGTTTTTTGTAGTCTATTTTACTAACCTCTAGAATATGTGTGCATACAAACAAAATATGGAATGCTCTGAGCCTATTTTATTTCGGCCTGATTATAGCTACCTGGGAAGAACATGGTTGGTTTCCCAGGATATAAACTATCGTCACCATACATTTTCATTTCATATAGCAGTAGTAATGTTACTAACAGTGACATATTTTTATGCACGGGTTGACAGGGAGATCGAACCTTGCAACAGTCAAGGGCCACAACTTGAATATTACCAGGCAAAGATCAAGGATATTATAATGTTTCTAATAATAAACATATACTCCCTCTATTCTCTAATAGAGTATAGAGTTTGGCACAAATTTAAGGGGAAAATAATAGAGTAAGTGTAAAAGGTATAGTGTGTTTGAATGAAAAAGTAGGAAAGAGAATGAAAAAGTAGGAAAAAAATGAAAAAATAAGAAAAAAGAATGAGGGTATATAGATATATTTATTGAAAAACTTTCAAAAATGGAAAGAGGAACAAATGTAAAAGAACATCCCAAAATAGAAAGTGAGACATCTATTAGAGAACGGAGGGAGTGTTTTGTGGGTGCATTTAGATGTACAATTTACTCCGTATACATAAATAAATATGGATAATAGGCGTGCATTATTATAAAATATAATATTTCATCGTCATAATGTACTGTATGTGTATTTATATATGTATATATAACACTCGCACACACATTGATTTTACGGTGTTTATACCGGTCCTGAAAAAAATGAATAGGATAAAAAAAGCACCACAACCAACTGTAAACAAAGTCTTCTAGAGTTGGACAATGAAAGTGTTTCTACATAAATGTGTATAATGTTGGGGAATGAACTAACATCTCGATTAGTAGAGTTATTAACTTTAAGCATCTTCAAGTGTCATTCAATTTAAGGATAAATGAACAAAATATTTATATTTCATTATACTTACATTTTATAGTATTCCTTCTTATTCCCAAAAATAATTCGTTGCAACCACATAAGTATTTTCTTAATTATAAATATTTGTGTCTGTTGCATCTAAACTCTCTGCATTCATTTACACACTAATGCATAATGTTAAACTCTCTTTAACTATAAACAATTATATTACTTGCCACTTTATTATGAGTTCAAATATTTTTGCATTTTTATAATACAGTTCCTAATTACACATTGATAAATTTTATATAATTGAGAATCTAGTTATATATAGTGAGACGAAAAGAGCACTAACTTGAGGAGGTAACGTACTACTCCCTAATAAACAGTGCATGGAGTAATAAAATACCAGCTTTCCATGAAGACTTTGTCATGATTCATGAGCAAGAGTGGCGCCATGGAAGCGCCGTCAGGGTTCTTCGTCAAATACCTGCATACCGGGGCCAGGCTGTAGAGCCGCTCCGCCCTGCCGTCGGCGAGGGTCCGGAGAGAGCAATTCAAGACAGAGTGGGAGCAGAGCAGCCGGAGAATCCGGTCCAGCATGACGGCCGCGTCCGGGTTAGTTGTGGGGAGTTGAGCCGCCAGCTCGGAAGGGGAGACGGCTGCTCCCGGCCCGGCTTTAGCCATCAGCTCCAGCAGGTCCAGCTCCACCGCTGCCTTCAGCGCCATGGGAAGCACTGCAGCGGTTGCTAGCTGCAACGCGAATAAGCTGTCGTCTTCCTCGCCGCCGTCCCACTCGGCTCGGCTCCTCAGCTGGCTTTCGTTCCCCGTCGAACCCATATATATACTGTGTTCTTTCAATTTATACTTTTATTATCAGCGGGAAACTCTTGGACAAATTAGAGTGGTTCGAAGATGAGAGTTATGGGAGTTTGATCATTTCCTTATATAGGCCCCAATTTCAAATGGCATAGTTAGAGTTAATATCTAAATCGACGCATTGATTTATTCTGCCTCAAATTTTTGAAGTTCTAGTTAAATTGACTGCATCAATTGATTCCACTCATTTATGAAAAAAAATTATATTAGAAATGTACTTTATTGATCCAACAAAGAAAAAATTGTATGAAAAACAGTTAAAATAGTCTTCAATTATAATTTCAGCCAATACAGATAAAAAAGTAACCTCAACCTCACCTTTTCTTATTATACACAATTCAGTGAGCGAAATCTAATGTAACGCGTTTGATAAAAAAGTTCGCTGATAAGGTGAAAAACAAGGTCAGCAAACGGGCTCTAAGTTTGGGTTTGTCAGTTTTTGTTTTTATTTAATTAGGGGAATTCTTTAGTACCCATAAGGTATCATATATTTGTCCACATGGGTCGATTAGAATGCTGCATTTGAAATACTTAAATTAAAAATTATATAATGATTTGGACCAATCAATTGAATGATAGATACTGTACCCCATTTTTAATTGAGTATCGTAATTGTCACCTTTTATTTATTACTCTGTATGTAGTATATACTTTGTAAAACACTTCACAATAAGAGTTCTGAGTTCCTAACAATTATTTCTAGAATTAATTCCATCTTTTGTCCTATGATTTTTGTGTCAAGTTCAGATTTTCACATCTTTCACTTTGTCCACTTTCGATACTTGAATTGAATAATGTTTCTTGACCATTAAACCACCGGAAACAGATGGAAGGACTATATATGAACAAAAACACAATAGTCATATAACAGAAGTGGTCAATCAAAGACATGGGCAAATAGAGGAGTTGGTGCGATACTCTTACGATCAAAAGTGGAATTTATTCATTATTTTTATAATGAGTAACTAATACCTAGGACAATGTAGTTATATACACCTATTAGGTAATAATTTCTCTATTCTTTTTTATTTGCATCCTCTCCAATTTTATGTTTGTCAATGCACAACTGTGTTAATAGTAAATAATTATTAGTAAAAAAGATTAAAATTAAAATTTATTAGAAAAGATTTTAAAAAATTAGTAAATTTTATTCCTTATTAGTAAACAAATTAAAAAATGGGATTTGAAATTATTAATGAAAAGAACTTAACAACATTTTAATATTGTTTACAATATTACAAATAAATTTAAAATGAGAGGAATTTAATAGATTTGATGAAAGTATTGTTTTAACATGTAAATTGACAATGTTTTTGGTAAGATATTACGATGTACTTCGTATATCTTTATTCATGTAAATTGACTATTTATAGATAGATTTATACCATAAAATCCATTTGTTATCATATTTTATTATTACGGAGTATTACGTACTATATTAATTTTTGTTGAACACAAATATCCATATATATCTATATGCGTGTGTATTGTATGTCTGTGTATATTTGATCTTAAAGTTAGGTCACATTATCCACCCTGTAACAAGGATCATTGATACTAATAATAACCATGGACAGAGCTACCTTGTAGATTATGGTGTCAATTGATGAAACCACTAATTAAATTAAAAAAATGTGTATAGCTAGTATAACTGTATAAGTATATATATGTAACAATCTCAAATTTTCACGTTATAGGATAAGAGTTAACATATTTTTTTAAAAATAGTACGAGTATCAATTTAAAATAAATGAATTGATTTGAAAAAAGTTAACCTTAAACAAGTAGATATAAATGGGCGTGTGGTTTGCAAATTAATTAATAAAATAGACAAATTGTTAGAGCTACGTGGTTTGAATTTGCAAATTGGAATAGCTCCAAATTAAGTGACTACAGAAGAAGCCCGCAACAAAATATATATAGTCGTTATTAAATTAATAGTTTAATACTCGTGCAAATGCCATAGAAAAACAGACAAGTATATGTGCAGGATAATGAGAATATTACTACTATAGTTCTTGTTTGCAATCAATTAAAAAAAGTGATTTTGGCTTTTCTTTAAGAATAAAGCACTTATTTTACCAAACACTATCAACTTTTACTTCCTCGGTTTTCGTGTAGAATCTACTTTTTACTTTTTCTATTATACAAAAAGCACTTATTTTACAAACATTGCCAACTTTTACTACTAATCACTTTTTCTCAAAAAGTACTTTTATTTAAGCACTAGTGGTTGCAAACAGAGCCATACATACTTCCAATGACACGTCGTTAGGAAGACACAATTATTTTCATGTGGGGATACATGTGTCAACTAACCTGCATGTTCTACATATAATACTCCGTAGTAATGATGACGACGACGACGGTAACCGTAATAGTTTAGAATATGATTGATTCTATGGTAGACCAAATGTACCGTACCTTTGTCCAAATGGACCAATAAGAATGATGCAATTGAATTATTTAAATCTAAATTAAAAAAAACATATAATGATTTGGACCAATCATATGTATGGTAGGTACGGTACTCCATTTTTTAAATGGTTCCCGGAGTTGTCACCTTAGAATATATGTATGTCATATAATAGTAATGATGATGACGACGACGGTAACCGTAATAGTTTAGAATATATGTATGTAATAATAATATTCTAATATAACTAGTGTAGCATCCGGGGCATGCCCCGGTAGTGTAAATTTCTGATGTACCTGTTGAGTTTTGTAGTCTTGCTACTAGCAGCTCATATAAAGAGCGTTCTTACTCGGACAATGTGTTGGAAGACATGCTTTGACTGTGTCCCTCTTTCGGCCCTAGCATAAATTAAAGGTATGGACTACAATTCCTCTTAAAGGAACAAATTAAATTAAAGCCACCCATGCCAGTCTTTTTATTTTAGATGGAAAAACAGAAGATGAACCAGTGTATCCGGTGTAAATAAATAATTTCAATAAATACTGGCTGATGAAAAGGTGATGGGCCTAAATGGGATAGTGACTTAATCGTCCATTCATTAAACTGTGGTAACATACAACTTAATCGGATGTTAAATGGGACAGTGACTTAGCCCTTTCATTCAATGATTGGTTAAAGATATGCATTTCAAACGCGCTCTAAAAGTAACCTTAGAAGACACTGCCATGTTAAAAGATATTTTAAAGGTGTTTATATTTGTATTTTATTGTGTTTAGGCATTGGGAGTTAAAATTTGAGTAAGTAATATAGAACTATATAGTTGGATATCAGTTCAAGCTGTACACTCAGAATATGCCAGATCAAGCTGTACACTCAGAATTGGGTTACCATCTTGAACATTGGAAAATTTCGAACTATTGAAAGGGTGCTTGCGGAGGAAAATCTTATTCCGAGAGAATTTGTCATTAAGGATTTCAAGATTCAGCTCATCAGATGGCAGAGAACTAGAAAGAAATGGAAAATTAACATTGATGCAAGCTACTTATCTGGCAAAGCATATGGCGGGGCTATAATTCGCGACGGGAATGGGCATTTCGCTTCAGCCATCAGCTTTCCTCTGCAAGCTGGGTCACCGGTTGATGCCGAACTCAAGGCCATCTTCTTCGTCTTGAAATGGGCAGATGATAATGGCTTTGACGAGCTGCAAGTTGAAACCGATTCTCTGGAGGCTTTGAGATATATCGATGGGAAAGAAGGTAGGAGATGGGAGCGTCAACTTCAGGAAGTCGCAGAGCTGCGAATTAGGAAACAGATGGGATTCGGGCATACTTTTAGAGAAGCTAATTGGGCTGCTCACTATCTGGCCCAGGAAAAAATGGATCATATGACAATTTATAAGGAAGTGGGTCAGCTACCTATTTTAGTTAAAAGAGCTTTTTGGGCTGATTTTGTTGGTATTCCTTCATTTAGAAATAAGTTCTAAGCTGTTTGACACTTTATTTTATTTCTATTTTGGGAGGTTTCGGTTTGGTCCCCCTCTGCTGTACTCAAATTATTTTAATAAAATTCGGCATATGTCCCCCGGCATATGCCCCACTGATTTTGGTGGTTGACCTTCCGGGGTAAAAAAAAAAGGATATCAGTTCAAATGATTGTGTTTGGTTTGGTGACCGTTGATTGTGTGTGATGCTTTATTTATATAGTAGAGAAATTTTATCACTATTGTCATCACTACTTTTATATGATAGTCAACTCTCCTTAAAAAAGCCGAGAAATGATTTTGCATAGTTTAGTGTAGTAGGGAACATTTATTCAGGAATAGCTACGTTCATGAGATAATTGAACTGCATTGTGCTTTTTTATGTAGAAAAAAAAACATAATTTTAGTATTCATTTTCCAACAAAAGTTGTGGACTCGTGGATAATAGAATAATGTGCAAGTGATCCATGATGTAAGGAATTCTTTGACTATAGTGGTACCCAAACTCTTTTCTACAAATTACTTGGAAGTAAGACTGGTAATCTTGTGCCTTTTTTGTTATGTTTTTGTTTCAGGCTGGAGAGACTATTGCCAATCTGTTAAGGGATATGCATTATTCCTTTATGAATAGTAAATCATTATTTCCCACAAGGCCATTCTCGTGTTTTGAGCTCTGACAAATTTGGATTTTGTAGTTCAATAAATGATCTCCCTCAAGCTTTAATATCTGAAATCTTCAACTGCGTAGACCCCAAGGAGCTTAGCATAGTCTCCTATGTCAATTCTTCATTGTATCATGTTGCATCGGAGCACCAAGTGTGGAAGGAGTTTTATTGTGAGGGGTGGGGGAATCCAATGGTCACAATGGCATTGAGGCCGGATAGCTCAGGTTTGAAGACGACGAAATGGAAGGACCTTTTTGTGGGAGGGAGTTTCGTAGCAAAACGTATTTAGGTAGATAAACTGTTGACACCTTATATGGACGTACTGAAGCAATTAGGGCAGTTTTCATCCTGTCTTCAAAGAAGCCTGTTTTCACTTCTGGGTATGATCAGATTGTGAGAATGTGGGAGCTGGAAGAAGGGTTCTCTGTTTCGTTTACCCGCCCTCTTGGTTGCACTGTCCGTGCCGTTACTGCCAATTCAAAACTATTACTGGCTGGTGGGACCGACAGGTTCATACACGGCTGGAGGACAGAGGAGGGAAACAC